AGGTCACCACACTGTTTGTTTGCTGTGTATGAACCATGGGCTTGAGCCTCTGGCCTGCCTGTGCAAAACCCAGACAAAATCAGGTGACTGCCTCAAGGGCAGGGTCTCTCTAGATGTACCATGTTCATACAGGACTCCTTTCTTAGGCATTTCCTGCTACTAGTAGTGAGAGAAAATACACTGGGCTAAGCCGATCAGCATGGCTATCCTTACCTTCCTGAAAACCCTCATCACAGTCAACGAACACAAGCAAGGGTTGGGAGTTCACAAAGGGAAAGCACAAGCCAAATGGAACAGTCTGAAAAAATGGTTGGAAAAACTACTGCGTGCTGTGATGAAGAAAGCACCTCCTTCTCTCCTGCTCCACTATTCAAAAAATTTCCCCATGTGACCAAATATAAAAGGTCAGAAAACCAATAAGTGATGAAGAAAAACTGCACAAACCCTTGAAAGGAGACAGTGAGCAACGTACTGTGTAGCAGCCCTTTTTTATCATACCAGCAGGACTGCTGCTGACAAACCAGACACAGAGGATGCCATCCCAGGGGCTCCTGTGGGCTGAGCGTTGTGAACACCCACCAGCTCACCTGCAGACTGGTGGCTGAGGTGGGAAACCAGCTCCATGCTGCAGAGCTGCAGACAGCACGCTGAAGTTTGCACGGCCGCATCCATCCAGCAATGGCCTGGCGCAGCTGCAGTTACCAACATTTACTAGCTTAGTTTTGGGGCAGTGTCGTTACAGCTACGTCCCCCCTGCAGAGCTGGCTCAGAGCACAGGCAACGAGGAGTCAGGTGTGCCAGAAGAATGTTTCACCCCAGCTGGGACTCGAGCGTTCGCTCCGTTTCGGCCTGCTCGCTGTGTGAACGAAGCTGCAATGAACTGCACTGGAGGGCTCTCAGCTGGCTTCTGCCTCCTGCCAGAGCAACCCCAGCATCATCACGTGGACAACAACATCCCAGTATGGGGCTCCTCACTGGCATCAGGCAAGTCCACGATCATTTTGAACACACAAAAGATGGGCAGGGAGTGGCACATTGTTAATCCGATCCTTTGATCTGCTGTTTAGAACCAACCAACCCAAAAAGAAGCACAGGCACCAAGGAGTTTGCTTTCCCTCAAAGCTTCTCACACCTTTTGCCTGGATGCGTTGCTCCTTTCCTCCTCTCAACCTCTCCATCCACCTGCATCGCCTCTCGTGCCACCACCATGCCTGCCCGCTGATTTGTGGCAAGCCAGGGTGGTTTGATACAGTTTTCTCAGAGGACTTGGAAGCATTTGTGGTTCTTTTCAACCTGTGGTGAGCCAGTAAGTGCTGTATGCTTCTTGTAGGATGAAGCACAGCTGAAATGGCTGGGGCAGCCTGGGCCTGACAATCATCTAGCTGGACACAGTCTTACACTGCAAACCACTTCTGTGTCCTAGACTGTGTTAGGTATCTAACGCTGGTCAAAGTCAGCCTGCACAAGCCACAGAGGCTTGGCTCTTCTGTGGGGAAGGGTGTGCAGAAGATAGAAGTAGTACCCTTCACACAAGTACTTCCTGCAGTGTGCTGGATCCACCCTTGTCACACACAACCACCCCAAAGGAGTCCACCTTCCCAAGGATGCCGTCACCAGCGCAGAGGTGTCCAAAAACAGCAGTACTCAGCTGCTTGAGAAACGAGTCACCCAAACAGCCCCTGCTGGCTGATGACATGTGGGCTGAAGGTGCTTAACTGCAATGACCACACATCTCAAATCACTTGCCAGGTTCCATGACAACAACCCCCTGCCTTGAATGAATCTCCCGCTAACAAAAAGCAAGTAAAACTGGAACAAAGCATGGATAAGGATCCAAATTTTTGCCTCTTTGTGCTTCCGTGAGCCTGTGTCAGATGATGACATTGGCTCCCTGCCACTCAGCCAGGTGTGACTGCTGCCTGTGGACAGGCACCAGATGACTCATTGCAAGAAGGTCAAAGAAAACTACAAAATGGAGAAACCATTCACCTTATTTCTGTATGAACAATTTCACATGATTTAAAATAAATGTTCGAAACAGATTTAAAGTCTCTCTTGAATTTCGAACACGAACTTTTACCCAAATTGGAAATACCTCTGTAATGGGTTGCATTTTATGTTTATGTGACATTTTGTTGCCTTTCTCACAACCACTTATGTTCTTTTGAATGGATTCTGGTAGGATTTTTAAGTATGCAAAACTGTATTTTCCCTGGCTGCAGCTGTTGATGAGATGAACTGTTTGCTGCCTGCCATTCTGAAAAACTGATTTCTACCAGCCACCACTTTTACCCCAAAGTGTAGGCAATTTTGAACAACCTCAGAACAGCTTTTTGCTTTTACAATTGCAGGACTGTAAGTGTCCACAAAATGGAATCAAATGCCCATGCCTTAAGGGCTTCCATTTGATGAGTGTAACATTCTCAGAAATAAAAGTCAATCTGATCCTAATAAAATACTTCCCAAACAAAGACTCGAGGAGTTTAACAAAAATCTGACAAAAAAAAAAGGTCAGTTAGTGATACAGAAGAGAGCATTAGTACAAGAAGGCCTGAAGGAGAACAAAAATGCAGAGGTTTAAGGAGCAAAGGCTCCCACCTTCATGTTTCCCCATGTCCTTAGTGATGCAATCATCAGATCACATTTGCTGAAGGGATTCTTTAGGGAAAAATAATTGGAAACTTTTCTGGAGTTTCCTGGACCTCATCTTACTGTTCCACCTCAGCATTAAGTTATGAAGGTGTTTTTGCTGTAAGTTTAACAGGGAGGTTTCAGGTAGAGTGAACATCCTTTGAGGTACTGAGCAGCTAAAACGACATTCAATTTTCTCATCTAGCAGTACTGAAAGAAAACTTCCTACAGCAAACATCATCAAACTAATGCACCGAGTTGCTCTCGTCCCTTCGCCTTGATCCTGATGGTCCAAGTCAAGACCAAGACCCTCAGAGCATACTCGCCCATCACTCACTAGGTCTGAATTGCTAGAACTAGTATTCTACTGACATTTCTCTCCCCAGACCAATATCCGTGCAATGCTTGTTAATTTAACTTTGCTTAATCACATCTTCATGTGTTGAAAATTCACGCACGTACTTGCAACATTTTAGCAGTTTTTGCAGAATGACAGTCCTTTTATTTTTACTGGTTCAGTATACAGCCAAATGATACACTGAAGCTAAGAAAAACTGGGAAGAATGATTCACAGTAAAATTTTGAGAAGTCCATTTCTTCTAAACCAAGGCAGGAACAATTCTTATACAGTCCATGATCAGTGACTACATTCCAGATTATTTTCAATTTGCTTAGCGCTATAAATAATCCTTAGTGACAATACTACTACAACTTGAAAATAAGGCAAGGGCAAGATCTGATCTACATCTGTTTGATATTTATAGTGTTCATACTTGTATATTATTTCATATGCATACACTTGTATAAAACAACAACAAAATAAAACTGTCCCCACAACAATAAACAGGGTATATTGTACAGCTTATAAGTTACGGTATACAGTAAAACCAGTATCACGTCCTATAGGTCGTGAGATACGTGAATAAATAGACAATGATATATTAATTTGAAAATCTAACAAAGAATTTTAAAAAGGAGGAAGTAAAATGTTACACACAATAGGGCCAATTCATCATCGCTGCTTTTACTCTGGTTTAAAATAACGGCACTGTCACGTCCTGGGAAGCTTGGAATCAGACACGTACAATTCAGCAGAGCTGTAACATTTTAAAAGCCACCTGAATTTCTTGGAGTCTTGAGGGCTTGATTTTGCAACCCTGAAGTTGAATTACCCACATTTAGTTTCTCTGCCTGCCTGTTCAATATAGGGAGGAAGAAAAAATAAACGTAATTTTCTTACGGTACTCACCCGCTTTGGTTTTTGATTTGGAAACATTCAGCTTACTGCTTTGCCATTGCTCTTTCACACCAAACCAGGACCAAGCCCTGGAAGCTCGTGGCAGACCCACGGGTCCATCCCACTTACATAGTGGCTGATGGGCTGGTTTTTAATGATAAGTGGCACCCTAAGTATCTAATTGCTCTCTGTATAGCATTTGAAATTCTAAACTACTTTGGAAAACTCATATATCCTACCTACTGCTAAGTTGGCAAATATGATTTAATTACTAGTCTGTAATCTAGGTAATAGCTTTTAAATCCACGAAAGCCAAGATATGCCATAACATTCATACAACCACACATATAGTTGTACCTAATTCTTAATTTTGCAACGGTGCAGCAGTAATGGAAATGCATGTACACGTGTATCAGAAAAGGAGCAAACCGGTGCTGCAGACAGACTTCGGTCTGCTATTCGCATGCTCGATGACTACATCTATACCAAAACCAGTACCAGCAGAGGCCTGCTGTGGGAAGAGAAGCACAAAAAGCTGCTCGAGAACGTCTGAAGCCAGGTGGCCCTGCAGGCAAGCGAGAGTGTTGGACACAAAGTGACACTTCTGATTGCTACTGCGGCTTGTGCTTCTCATTGTCATGGCTTCTCCAGCTACTCACAGAGCACGACGGCGAGGTCTAAAGTCAAAGCTGCCCAACAGTCATAAAAGCTGTTATACACGTCTGCTGTACCAGATAATTTGTCCTTTGAGCTTTGCAAGAGACAGGAGTCAGCCAGGGAGGGGCTGAGGGGTTAAAGGCAGCTGGTGATTTTAGGACCAAGTTAGATTTAAATAAAGCGTATGCTTCACACTGCAAATCAATGTTTATTTTGCCACAGAACCATTGGAATCGACAACAGGGTGCCAGAGAGCACCTTCACTAACCTATCCTGTAACAACACAGAAGCACCATTTTCAAAGACACACATTTATACATCCAGTAACCCTTTTGTCCCCATTACTTAATTAAAGAATTAATTTAGAATTGTTTTGGGACACAGATATACACGCGCACCTTTTAAAAAAAAAAAAAAAAAAAAGGCAATACAATTTTTTTGTTGCTGTCAGAAATAAAGTGCCAGGTAGAGTAAATCATCGTTTCCTGGTCCCACTGCTGCCACTGGTGGACTTACTGAAACTTCTGCTCATCTGTGGGAAGTGTACAGTTGGTGTTCTCTCAGTGGGGCCATACAGCCCCAAATTCCTGGCGGTAGCTGACTTTCGAAGAGGCTTCACACTGGGAAAAGGATTGAAGACTTGTGGCTTTGGGTTCCCCGGCTGGGGAGATTTAGCCAGGTTTCCACTGTCACTGGATGAACTAGAGGACTCTGATAAACGTGGCTGGCTGGACTGAAGGGATGTAGACTCTGCATCAGTTCGGGGATCTGAGGTGAGTTCCAGTGCTTCCAGTTTTAGCTGAACCACTGACATGTCTGTACTGCTGTCTCCAAAGACTGGCTCAGACGACTGCTGGTCAGCTTTTTGACTAGTCCTGTCATCCAAATCACTTCCTTCTCTTTCTCCAAAGTCAGAAGGTTTGGAAGTCTCCTCCTTTCCACCAGGACTATTTGTTTTACAGCTCTCGCTCTGCTCATCTATTAGTCCTATGGTATCTCCATAGCCCAGCTGGCCTTTGGCCCTAGCGATATTCTTCCGATGAACCCGTATGTGAGTGCGCCACGGAGAGTTCAGCTTTGTTTTAAGATCTTCTTGTGGCACGGGAGACATCTTCCCTGTAGCATGGCTTGGGATGTGTATAACAGCATTTTTGAGAGACCTGTTATTCAATTTCATCTTCTTTCCTAAAAGGAGGTGGTTTATCACTGGAGAATGGTTTACCTGAGAAGGAAGGAGGCTGGTAACTGGCCCTTTGTCTGAAAGAAAGTGTTTAACAGAAACACGGTATTATTAAAGAACAAAACAAATTAACATTCTAAGGACCCACCACCAAATTTGATGCCTTTTTTGAGGTACAGCAAAGGTTTGCAGAATTGATTGTTACTTAACTAAATAAAATCACTGAATTCCTCTTATATCTTGGAGTCAAACACAAAGCTGTAACCTCTATAGTAAAGATTTCCTGCCCTCCCTCCCTGCTTCTTACCCATGGGTAAGTGAAAATAAATCACAATAAAAATAGCTTCTCGACCTTTGGAATGTTAAACTGGTAGTTTAAAATTAGTACTGGCTTCTGATCTTTCTCCTTCATTTCTCTTCCAACCATAAGAGGCAATTCAGTTCCTATACGAGTTCAGTCAAACAAGTCTTTCCACAAGGCTTTAGTGGATAAACTACACCAATTTTTTTCTTTTAGGTCCACTTACTAAACCAGAGCCATAGACTTAGAATTAGGCAATTAGATGAGTTTGATTAAACCACAAATGCAGCCCCGCATCATGATTAGTAAGATTAGAACGGTTTGTGTTTTTTCAGAGGTGGGAGTTGGCAGTCCTTGGGAATCAACATTTTACTGCTTGCACTGTTTCTGCTGGCTACAGTCTTTGTTCAGAGCAAATACTTTGCCAATATTAAAAAAAAATAAAAAAATCCTTACAAATTATGTTAATGAAAGATTTCAGATCTTTGTATTCAAATGGTGCTGCTAGGATAAGTTTAGACAATCTAAAAGGGTGGGGTGGGCTGTATTGAGCTTGTGAACCCACTCAAACCTTCAGCTGTGCTGCTTACGCTGACCCTCGTGTTGCTGAGTTTGCCAGAAATAAGACTCCACAACGTGGGTTGCTACATAACGGGCTGATGTCCAGCTCAGTCCTCACAGCAGTGACACTGTGGCTAGGCAAACCTTCAGCCACAATGGAACATCTAAGCCAATTCTTCAGCTATGTCATTTGCCATGCCCAGATGAACCTGGAGTTAGGAATATGGACCAGCTAGAAATCTACCTGCCACTTGGTCTGAAGTATACTCATCTCATTTTGCTTTTACCAGTGCACCAGTATGTCAACCCCAAGAATGCCAAAGATATAAAGATTTTAATCAGAGAGAGATCAATACAATGTGCCCAGATAGCAAAGACACTTTTAAATACCATTGTTCAGCTGGTCCCTGGGACCTAAAAAAATCCCAGGGTCGTCATCTTCAGGTCCTGACAAAAGAAGAAAAAACATCACCTTCTCATTTACAACCTGTCTGTACAAATAGGTACCCACTTTACTACTAATGTGTTACACATTCCACCAGTCCCTCTTGTTTTGTCTGCCTGAATGTAAAAGGATGATGTTTGCTTCATCTCCTATGATGAAGTTAGCTTGCGATAAATCAGTAAATGAAGCATGTTTTGATGTGTTACCTGCTCTGATATACACATGGTGAACCTGTTGTTGCTGCTTCTTCTTTATCCTGGAATATTGCTTTTTCAGTGCATTAATGTCAGTGGTCATGCGCTCCATCATCATGCTGTTGAAAGCCGCGTGATACTCGCTCCGGCAGGAGTCCACTGCTCCCGGGCTCAGCTCTGCAATGTTACTGCAGCTCAGGCTTTGCTCTTCACTCTGGTCTGCACAGAGGAGGAATGAAGTGGAGATGAGGAGTAAATTGGCATGCTCAAGAGTTCTGCAGATTATCTACAAGGGAACTCTATGCCTGATTACTATCACCTTACTTAAGTGTAGCCTTTAATTTAAAAAATATAATATGCACATTTAACACAGCTGCACTATTTACAATAAGGAGTATTTTATTTCTAGAACTGCTGCTTAAAAATAGCATGGGTTTGAGGGGAGTTTAGAGTACAAAAGCCAATGAACAGCAATGCAAAATTAGAAGCACATTTCTTCAGCTACCCAAAAGCACATTGAGCCATCCCTAAAGTAATCCAGAAACTGATTGGTAAAGACACTCAGTTGGTCAAAGAGGAGGTTAACAATGTGAGTTATAAAATGCACTACAGTCAAGCAGGCATGAGATTAAACAAATGACCCAGTGATACCAGCAAGCAGCATCAAGAAAGAGTTACAGCACCACAGGGAGAAGGCTGCTAGTAGCAACTAAAGGGATAGGCACAGAGCAGCTGAGGATCAGGCAACTTGAGAGGGTCTCTGATCCACAGCAGCAGTAAAATTTATTTTCACAACTGCTTCTGATATAACACCAAACTGGCACTCTGGGGTCAAGGGGATAATTCTTTTTCAAGGGATGATTGTTTGTCTTTGGCTTAGTTTACAACAGCAGTTTGATGTTCTAAGTGCTAGCTTAAAGCAGCAGGTAGAGACTTACAGTCCCTCAGGAAGGGAGAAACAAAACATCACAGCAATCACGAGGAAAATTGCAGCTTCTAGGTGTCAGCAAAACCAAGAGATTGGTGACGTTTAATCAGATAACACCAACTGCTACATCAGTCTGGGTTTAGGGGCAGGAAGGGGAGGCACTGGGGATAAATAACTCTAACCTCTCCTAGGATATTATAAAATCACTGTTGATCCAGTACCATTTTACAAAGGATGCTGCTGCAATTTAACAAATTATCTGCTTTTCTTATATGAGTCAGAATTTTGTTCTGCTTGTAGAGCTTGCACAGAAATTTGATTTCAATGTGGAGTAATTTGAAAATAGTGACATTTTATCAGAACACTCTAAACCATACCAAATTTTAAAAAATTTAAAAAATAATATATACCCCAAACATAAAACAATATGAAGGCTTGGTCAAGAGGGCAATGAAATGACCTGTAGAATTTATTCAGTGCTGACAGGTTCCAATATTAGCCATGCATATGTTAATAAAGGTCAAGATTACTTATTCCATGTTCACTCTTCAGAAAATGCTGACTAGACAACAGCTTTCTTGAAAAAAAAGCATGGATTTAGGGTGGACAATTTTCCACCCATGTGCTGCCTTTTTTTTTTTTTTTTTTTTGTGGGTGGTCAAAACTATGGGGCTGTTTTTTTAGTCATTACTGTAGTCAAATCCTTAAGCCACACTATCATTTATTGTACACATACAGCCTTCAAACTTGGCTTTGAAGGCATTTTCACGGACAGCAGAGCAAGTCATTTGGTACCTGCTGTAATTGCTATTTGAATATAAAATACAATTTTCATAGCAGCTTCCACAGAGGAAGGTACAGATGATTTCTGCAAGGTCACGCAGATTTAACTACAGTTTCCAAAATGAGCAAAAGCACTTTTACCTTTCATCTGTTTCTGGTATTTTTGGAGCTCTGGTGCCAAAAACCCACTTAATGGTCCAAGACAGCCAATTGCATTGGCAATTGAGTCTTCATCATCTAGGTCATTCTCCTCATCACTGTCTCTGGTTCTGCCTAGCCTTCTGTCAAATGAGAACATAAGAGAAACAAGAAAGAGACATTCTTAAATATGACCATTACCAAACATCTTTATCTTCTTTAGGAGCATACAAGGGAGGATGTCACCTGCCTTTTCACCATCTGTGAAGGGTGAACAATAGCCCTATATGCCATAAGCAGTGCATTTCAAACTTACCCTGAAAGTGAACTTGATTTTACTGTTGCAGGGAAAGGAGTAATGTTGTACGTGTATTTCTCCCTTAATTCTGCCAGTTGTGGAAATGGAAACTGAGCCATGGTATAAACAGTCTAGGGAGAGGAAAAAAAAAAATGGCATTTTTAAAATTTTTTGCTTTAACTAACAGGCCCAGAAAAGATGTCTGCATGAACAGACTTTCCCAGTCTTGAAGGATTAAAAGTTGCACATTCTCATGTGCTGAAAAAAATGATTCAGTTGGAGAAAAATAACGCCTGCCTCACTAGAAAAATGCATGGATTAGAGGAAAAAAAAACACTAATATGGAACTTATGAGATGTAGAGTCCTTTTCCACTCGTTTAATAATCATTGTCAAATCTCTCCTTGCCAGCACATTGAAAATCGTCCTCCTCCAATTATGATTTCACATACATGAATGTATCACTGAAGTTTTGAGGATCTTCTAGAAGACCTGTGTTTCTACTCAAGTACTGAACAAGGCATCGACACGAGCATAGATAGAAAGGGGCAGATCCTCACTCCCATATGGACTGTTAACAGATCCGTTACTTCACTTGAGCAACCCCAAGAGTTTGTGGGAAGGAAATCACCTTGACACAAAAGTTATGGCTAAAGAGAAAGGACCCAACATTATCCAGCTGACTTTTCTCCTCTAAGTTTTTGGGTTTGCTTGTTGTTTTAGGGGAGGTGTTTGTTTGGTTGGGTTTTTTTGGGGGGCTGGGGTGAGCAGTGGTGGCTGCTTTTTAAGAGAAGCTTGTTCTATGGTAAACAAAGAAACCTCTCTGCTGAACTCAACATGTAGTTCCTAGAACTTAAAACAAGGCCATAAAAAACTCTAATATATTTTATTTGTGTCAATGCTCAACAGAGAAAGAAGACAAATAGTTATGAACGCATTCGCTTTCAGCATTACTTTTGCTCTAACTCATTTTGTAATAACATAATGTGTGTTACCAGCCAATCTGGCATAAAGATACATGATATTCATTGCAATATCACTGCCGATGTGTTCCTATCTCAGTTGCCTTCCCCCTACTTTTCCACACTTAAAACTATTAAGGACTTTAAAAGAACTGACACACAATTCATTAGGAGTCTCAATGTCAGAAGTAAAAAAGAAAAAAAAATAGCCAAAATATAATTTCTCGGGTTTTCTGAAAAGTTATAGCTTCCCCCATCTTGAAAATTAAATATCTTCTGAATGACAGCAACCTAAAAATTTCTCCTTAGCTATGTCATGAAATCTTCACTTTGATTTTTCTTTCCCCTGTGCCATTATGTCAGTGACATTTTCATCTGAAGGCATACAGCTTTAATTAAGATGAAAGGAAATTTTGAACAATTTCTATAGAATCCATTTTTGAACTGTGCCTTGTCTGGGCTGAATATGAATACGAAGGAATTTTATGACCTGGAGAAAGACCTACCTCTGATCAAATGTGTCTGCCTGCTTGTTTGATCTCCACCACTTTCCTTTTTTTTTTTTTTTTTTTCTCCCCATATGTCTCAACTCCCACCCTTCGTAGAGAAGGAGGTGTGTATGGAATTTATTTATACTCTTTATGTCAACAGCCTTTTCAGGTAACTTGTTCCATATGCTAGCTATCCTTTACGTGAAACAGTTGACTCAGAGTCCTCCATTTACTCCTTGGTCCTACTGTTTTAGATTATGCTTTTAGCATTTGCCTGTCTCTGATTCATGTCTCTTCCAGATCCTGTGCAACTTCTTTCATTTAGCATACACATTTTTAGCTTAATTACTTGGTATCAAATTATAATTGGAAGTCTCACTTGCCACCTGGATAAGGGATCCAGGAACAAATTCTATGCTGATGCAAGTTCCATTGCAAATTTTAAAAGAATGTTGTCAGTTGACACCCATGATCTTCTCACAGCAATGCTGCAGAGTCAAAGCATCCTGGCTCCTAGTTTGTACACAGCCTTGGATGCCATTTGGTTAATTCTGATGAAACTGTGCCAGAGGGAAACAGCCTACAGATCTGAAGCACAATGCAGCCAAACTTATTATCTTATTGCCATAAGGGTCAGATTCTGGCAGCAAGAAAAAACGAAAAAAACCTCTCTTCTCACTTTAAAACAGTAGCGTTTGTCAATCCTTTGC